CAATTGAATGCAGGTTAAATATACTTTGACAAGTACTCTTTCAGTGTCTTGAGTGATGCTAAGCACATCAGCATTCCCTTATAGCATTGGTATTGTCCTGCTGCTTACCTGTGGGTGTTGCCTCATGCTAAATACATCAGCATTTCTCAATATACCATTGTTATTGTCCTGCCACTTACCTATGGGTGTTGCCTCTTTAACTCCAGGCCTCCCTGGTTCCACAATGGATGTTAGAAAGAACACCAATCCCCACAGCTTGAACAATCATTTGTATCTTTCAAAGTAGTTTTATTCCCATATACTTACGTCAACATGTAATCACATAGAATGCTCCTCAGACTTGGCTTAATAGTATAGGTACTGATTGTTTTGAGATTGCTTGCCTTTTTTTTTTCTTTTTTGAGACAGGGTTTCTCTGTGTAGCTTTGGAGCATGTCCTGGAACTTGTTTTGTAGACCATGTTGGTCTCGAAATCACAAGTACTGGGATTAAAGGCAAGCACCACCACTGCCCAGGGAGATTGCTTGCATTTTTAAAATTTATTTCTTCATTAGGTATACAGTGTTCCACCTGCATGTATCCCTGCAGGCCAGAAGAAGGCATCCAATCTTATTACAGACAGTTGTGAGCTGCCATGTGGTTGCTGGGAATTGAACTCAGGACCTCTGGAAGAGCAGCCAGTGCTCTTAACCTCTAAGCCATCTCCAGCCGCACATTTTTTTTAACTAACCATTTTTGAAACTGTTTGTTAGGGGTCTTTTCAATATTTTCAGCACATCTACGTCTACAATGTCTTCCACTATACAGCATTTTTTGATTAGAGTGTGTCCTAGATATCATCGATTGTCAACTTGACACAACCCAGAGTCATTTGAGAGCTTTACCTGGGAAATTACCTAGATCTATTTGGCCTGCACATATTTCTGTGGGGAATTGTCTGATTGTTATTTAATGTATGAGGGCCCAGCTCATGTGGGTGTCATCATCCCTAGGAGGTTGACTTAGGCTGTCTAAGAAAGCTAGATGAGCATGGGCCAATGAGGGACTCATCAAACAGCATTTCTCCATGGTTCCTGCCTTCAGGTTCCTAACTTGAGTTTCTGTCCCTACTCCATTCAATGATAAGTTATTATCTGGAAGTGAAAGTCAAATAGATTCTTTCTTCCCCAAGTTGTTTTTGATCAGGGTGTTTTATCACAGCAACAGAGATCAAGCTGTGATGGACTTGACCATGTTGATTTTGGCAGAGGGTTGTGAAATATAAGTTGAAATAAGCCCTTCCTTCCCATGTGGCCTTTGGTCAGAATGTTTTATCACATGAACAGAGAGCAACAATTGGGGACTTGTTGGTACTTGGGAAATGTGAGTTCAGATTGAGAGAAAACCTGAGACATTGCTGGACATTTGTAGTTTGGCTCTTTTCATCAATGTCAAACTCCCCAAATCACTGTGGTGATTATAGAGGCCCCCCAACATTTCTAAATGTCTTTATGGGGAATGTGCAATTTCAAGCGGAGACCCCCAGACATATTGCTTTACCTGTCATGAATTTATAGATGAGTGAGATTGGAAAACAGCCGAGACAGGACATCACAAGACACCTTAAATCTTGTGCATCCATGACAGGATTGGACAGGTGCTGTTACGGTTTGAGTCTGGTGTCTCATCAACTCTCATGTTGGAGTTCAGTCCCCATGATGAGCTATCAAGAGGTTGTGCTTTTAGAAGGTAAGCAGGGCACTATCCTCATGAATGAATCCAGTCATATGATCAGTAGACTGATGTGTTAATGAGAAATTGTGAGAGTAAGTCTACTGGAAGCCAGTTTATCCAGATCTTTCTCACTTTCCCTACTCTCATGATGTCATGCCAGCTGGAAGGTCTTTGCTAAATGTGGACCTCCTATCTTAGAACACCCCTCTTTGCTTTCAACAACTAATACCTTGCCCTTTGGAATTATTGTCATGAAATTTATCAATCTCATGTTTACTTGAATGAGAAACTACTTCCCAATCCTTTAGAGCATGTGCAATAGCAAGCATATAGGAGGGGCTGTTTAGAATTTTGACTTCAATTGTTTCATATGCTGCTTGTTTCCTTATGTAACATGTGATGCCTCCAGATACCAAGTCTATCCATCAGTGTGATGATGGTTAAACACACCCAGCCCAATGCTTTGAACTCAACATGATTGGCATGGTATATTTTGTCTCATCCTTATGACTGTACTACTCAATGTTAAACAATGCACACAAGCCAGGTACAATGGCATGGACCTGTCAACCCAGCAACTCAAGAGATGGAAGCAGGAGGCCCATGAGTTCTAAGCCAGCCTGGACTATAAAGTGAAACTTTGTCTCAAAACAGCAGCACCAGGATCACTAACAACAAACCCCAAGGCTGAAACAAACAAAAACAACCGAACCACACCCGGCCAGACGGCTCAGTGGGTAAAGCAACTGAGGACATGAGTTCAATCCACAGAACCCGAGTAAAGGTGGAAGGAGAGAAGCAACTCCACAAAGTTGTCCTCTGACAACTTCCCCTCCCCTATCACGTGCACAGGCACCCCACAAACAAATTAAAGTAAAATTAAAGTGAAACCCCCCAACTGCAGCAAACAACAGCAACACACACCAACATCCCATCCCCAGGGCTCAGATGAACAACTAAAGCTTAAACAAAAGTATGCATCTTTCCCAAGGCCTTCTGTGCTCTGCCAGTCAAATGGTATCATGCTGTGAAGCTAAGGAGAAAAGCTTGGGGAGTGAGGGGATTAAGAGAGGCTCCCATCCTAAGCCTTATCCCCCAGGATACCCCACCTGCATCATTAACACCCAGCTTGTCACCGCCAGCTGGTAGCTGATTTTGACCAGCCAGAGGGAAAAGCCTTTGTAGGTGTTTTTTCCTAAGTGGTACTGGGAAGGGTAAATTATCTGCTTCATGAATAAACTAGGATGGGGTGCTGGTACCAGCCTGTGAGTCTGCTACTGAGAGAGTCTGGCAGCCCACAAAGCCTCTCCTCTGTCTCTGAAAATAAGAACAAAACCCAAAGCAAACCCAGAATCAGATACCCAGGGAGAGGAAGGAAGTGGGGAAGTCAGTTGGTTGGAAACGGGTGTGAGAGGAGAGCTTCAACTTCCTGGACTTTGAAATAGGAACAAAATGGACAAGTGAATCCCTCAACATCTTCCATCACCCATGCATTCATTTTGTAATATTTCCTAAGATTATCCATGTGTCAGATTCTGCATCACTCACTAATAAACATGGCAAATACCCCTGTCCTCACATAACCAGCAGTTTGTGTAGTGAGGGGATGCAGGTAACAAACATTAAAAAATAAAATAAGGGCCCTCCAGGTGGTCCAGCCAGCAAAGGTGCTTGCTGTGCAAGCCTGGTGACCCAAGTTCTATGCCCAGAACTCACATAAAGGTGGAAAATGATGAGAAGCTACTCCACAAAGTTATTCTCCTACCTCCACTCATGTGCTGTATGTGCCCCCCCATACATATTTGAAAGTCTTAACTACTATATTAGGTGGAGAGAAGCCTTGGACTGAGAGCAACAGGAAAGGGGCTCCTACAGCTTGGGGAGGGCTTTTGTTTTAAACTTTTAGTCAAGTCTCACGAAGTGACATTTGAATATGGAAAATATTATTATTGTTAGCCACCATGTGGTTGCTGGGAATTGAACTCAAGACCTCTGGAAAAGCAGTCAGTGCTCTTAACCTCTAAGCAATCTCTCCAGCCCCTCAATATTATTATTGTTGTTAATACTGATATTATTATTGTGATGCTGGGCACCATTCTAGGTAAGTCACAGTTATCACATTAATCCAATCGCCCTGAAATGTAGCTATGATAATTCTCGTTTTACAAAGGAACCGAGGTTCAGAGATCTGCACTGCTTTCTGGACACCTTAGGACTAACAAATGGTGTGACTGGGATTTGAACCAAGTCCCAAAACTTCAGCGACTGTGCACTTGCATGCTGGCGCCGCCTGCCAAGGTTTGTGGAAGGCAAATGGGATCTCTGTTGTACCCGGAGAGGATTTACCGGTGGGTGCACTTGATGCAGGCTGTGGAAACAGCCCAGCTGAACCGACCCTGTCTTTGGTGGGAGTTGTACAGGTTAGCTACTGGAGAAGAGTGTCTGTGGGGGAGGGAGCACGCAACTCTAGGGTTGTCCCGGGACAGTGTCTGTGAGTTTCACCCTGCCGCCACCGGGGGCCAGCTGCCCTAGTCAATAAGGGAGGATCTGGTTCTTCGGAGCATTGAAGAGGGGGTGCAGCTCCATGGAGGAGTCCCCAAGTGCACTGGCTGGGGGCCCTGGGCATAGGACAGAGCGGTGGTGGGAATAGTCTGACAAGGTCCTTTGTGCAACAAAGTGGGGACGGGCTAGGACAAACTGAGGGAGAGTAAAGAACAAGCCGGATTTTCGTTTGTGAGAGGAACGCAGGGTACAATCAAGAAAGTCCTTGGAAATGTCGGGGTAACTTTGACCCAAGAGAAAGCATTCTGGGCAAAAGGGGGCAAGCTCAAGGAGGAGCCTTGGGCGTCTCCGGGGGACCCCATGGAGGCAGATCCCAGCAGGCTGCAAAGAGAAAGAACTTGCCGACACAAGGACTCCTTTGGGATCTGGAGGGCAGAGGCTCTCAGTGTGGCCAAGCCTGGGACACACAGCCTGCAAGCTCAAAGTATGGGGCGCACTGTGGCTTGCCAGGGCGTGCACAATGAGGTCCTAGGAAAGCAGTTGGGGACAGGGAATTTGGAGAGGGAGTGCGGGGGCAACGAAGCAAAGTTGTTTCTGCGGAAGCTTGGTTAGCGCTGCGCAGCAGAGCGCTGATGGACTTGGTCAGAGCTCTGAGAGCCGAGCCTCTGAGCCAAAGAAAGGGAAGGAGGAGGTGTGCACCCCAAAACTCAGCACAAAAAGTCCTTGAGAGACAGCGCAGCCCGGACCTTTCCTTTGCAGCTGCTTTTGGTACCAACCCCACTCACCATGATGGAGAAGACCAAAGCCACGATGTTGACTGGGTACGCTGGGCAAAAGCACGCGACAATGGTGAGCCACAGATAGTTCTTGGGCTCAGGCAAGTCCTCCTCAGTCTTGTCATCTTCCGTGTTGGCTTCGGGGCTGCTGCTGTCCAATGCTCCCTTGGAGTCTGAGCGGGATGCATACTGGGACATGGGTAAAGTCGGCGACACCGGGAGGGACGAGGAGCGCACTGTCCGCGGGAGGGACGAGGAGCGCACTGTCCGCGCAGTCTGGGGCTGTGGCTGTCGGCTCATGGTGAGCAGAGGCTCTGAAAAGCTTGTAGCTCCAGCCTCAAGGGAGATGTGACTTCATTCCTCCTGAGTAGGTCGTTCCTTTGCTGCAGCCGGCTGGGCTCAGGGACCTAGGCCAAGAGCCTCCCTCCCCATAAAGAGGGAGGGAGGGAGAAAGCAAATGAGGGGAGGAGAGAGAGAGAGAGAGAGAGAGAGAGAGAGAGAGAGAGAGAGAGAGAGAGAGAGAGAGAGAGAGAGAGAGAGAGAGAGAGAGAGAGAGAGAGAGAGAGAGAGAGAGAGAGAGAGAGAGAGAGAGAGAGAGAGAGCCTGTCACCCCAGGAGGCAGAGGAGCAGAGGGAGGCACTAAGTTCCCTCACACCAAGAGACCCTTCTGTGGAGTGGATGCACTGAGAAGTTTGCAAAGGCAGGAAGCAAGGCCTTTTATGCTTTAAACTGGCAGGGGAGAGGGTCGTGGGGGAGGGGCCACTGGGGAGGGGATCAGGCTGCAAAGGGCCATCTCACCTTTTAAATATCACTGAGTTTTAATCATTGGAGGGATAATGTCCCCTATCCAGCAAACATCTTTTTCTATTACACTTTCACTTCACAGGAGGCTCAGGAGACTGGAGTAAGCACTTGGTACCTTCCATCCTCCCCACCCACCACCCAGTAGAAACAAGGAGGTCTTCTCTCCAGTTTCCCTCTGACATGGGAGACAATCTGGACAGACAAATGGGGTAAAGAAAGAGAGATCCACTTTGGGCCCTGGGTCAAGAAGTAGGTGTGTTAAGATCTCCGCCTTTCCCAAGAAATCAGAATTGAGACTCTTGGCCCAGATGTGACTTGGTCACAGGAAAGAAAGTCCCCATCACCTTACTCAATTTCTACATTTGAAAAAGAGGGTATGTGTCATGGTCCATGCCTTACCTGGACATTGAAAGGAAGCCATGGGGTTGCACATTAAACCATTAAATGTTAGCATTTTTTAGGATTCTGTGTTCTTAGAGTAGAAATGATTATGCAGTATCTCAGACTCATGATTCACTGCTGCAGACATCTCTATCAGAAAGCCAGATATTCAGAGCTTGGTGGGATCATAAAAATGGCAATTACATTAACATTAACACACACAGTTTGAAAAGCACTTACATCACCCTACTCAAAGGTATTATCACAGCCCTCTGAGAACACGAGCGTCATTGCCTAGGATGCACTGGCTTATAAAGCATGGGGCTCATACTTACTCAACTGTACTATTTGCTTCTCTGAACTGCCAGTCCAGTGGAACACAGAGACATAGAGGCAAAGAGAGAGACATAGAGAGACACATATACAGAGAGACACAGAGAGGGACACACACACACACACACACACACACACGAGAACAATCATACACCTGACATTTTGTATCGCTGTGAGGAACAGTGCCCAGGACAAGCTTGCAAGAGGAACACGCAGAGATGACATAGTACTTTCTTCATCATGCCCCCTTCTCTGTTTTGGTTGTTAGACTCAGTCTTTGTGTATTTGTTATATTTTGGCTTTGAGACAGGATCTCACTCTGTAGCCTAGGATGACCTTTCACTCACAGTAATCCTCCTGCCTCAGCACCCCATGTTCTGGGATTATATGTGTACCACCACACCCAGCCTCTCATTTGGCCTTTGCCATGGAGGTTCCCCATGCCTAGAATGCTCATTCCCAGGCAGCCTCTCCTTACTCTTCATCTGTCAGTTCAAAGTCACTTTCTCAAGACAGGTTTTATCAAGAGTAGGTCCAATTACTGTTGGGTGATATTTTATCAGCATGGCTATTTTTGTGTGAGAGGGTCACAATGCTCACTTCCGGTGTGTTCTTTCCCTACCTCAGAAACTGTTTTACACGCGTCTCCAACACTTAGATTTATCCTATCACGTGGGAGGGAGACAAGGAACATCACTGAATGAGTGGACGAGAGCACTGAAGAAACTGATCTCAGGTCTTGGGCAGTTCTGGATCTATAAACCTATATTTTGGGTGTCTGAGAAATCCATTATTTCTGAGGTTCTCTGGAAACCAGTCACTTTCTCCAATCCCAGTATCAGCTCTAGATTTTAGGAAATCTCTTTAGTCTGGAGATTTCCCATAAGTACCGTGAAATCTACCTCAGGACCTGCTCTTCAAGGCCCTTCCTCGACTAACCGCCCCTGCCTTCTCCCCCAGCCTCTCTGCTAGTCTCTCCCTCTTCAGCGTTCAGCTGCGTAGGATTTCCCTCACGCTTATCGGCTGCAGTGCCTTTCCCACTCCACAATCTCTACGCCTGCTCTTCCTCCTCTTGGAATGTTTCCTCTCCTCCCTGCTTCTTGGGTCCGTCTCCTTCAGGAGCCTCATGGGTTTCCTCTTCAGAGAGGGCCATCCTATCCTAAATAGACTCTGTCTTATTATTCCCCACCTCATTAACTTGTCTATTTCATCTAAGCTATCGCAGTCAACTATTTTCTTCATTTGTTTCTTGGTCTGTTGTCAGTCTCCCCAGTTAGAAAACTCTATAGAGCTGATCTTTTTTCTCTCTGGTGGACTAGGATTGCTCCTGCACTCAGAACAGCACCAGACCACAGTAAGTAAATACTTCATGTATTTAATCATCCAAGTCAGGTGCTTGTGGACTCCATTCTCCTCTTCTTTAGCCTCTCTAAGGGGTTATTCATCAAACCCTATTGATTCCATCTCAAATGTGACTCCTCACTCTGTCTTCTTTCCCCCTTTGCTACAGCTAGTGTCCCAGTTCTGGCTTTTATTAACAGCACGAAAGCTCAGTGGTACTCCTCCTGTGATCTGAGGCTGGTGAATTTAACAGTATGACCAAACTTTAGGTTTGGATACCAAGTGGAATTTTGCCTTTTCAAGGTCACGAGCTGTACCATCAACTTTAACCCACTACTATCAGCTAGCAAAATAGAAACAAAGAGGTTGGTGCTTCTGCCAGACAACTGTCCAGTTTATCAGATTTATCAAACATTTAGGGAGTGATTCCTGTACGCACACAATGAGTTTCTTACATGCATCATCTCATTTAATCCCTACAACTTAAAAAAAAAAGACTTGGCTTTATTTGTGTGTCTGCATGGCTACCTGTGATGTACAAGTAGAGGCCAAAACAGGGCATAGGATCCCGGGGGCTGGAGTTACAGGTGGTTGTGAATTGCCTGATGTGGGTGCTGGAAGCTGAACTTGGGTCTCCTGCCAGAGCAGCAAGTGCTCTTAGCTGTTGAGCCTCCTCCCCCGCCTCTGTTCCTGCAGCTGTCTGTTAGCTAGATGGTGAGGTCCCCATTCACAAATGGGAATGCCTAGCATGAGTTAGATAAGAAAGTCTCTTATAGGGCCTAAGTGGAGGCACGGGCATTTTAACGAGGGTTAAGGCATTTTTTCCAGCTAACAGGTCCACATAAGAAAGTTAGATGGACACCTTCAAAGTTTGTTGGCCTTGTTCTGTTCTACTCAGCTTGCTGGCTGCTCGAGAGTGTAGCTGTGAAATTTCAATGACCTGAAACGTTTAAAATGAGATGGAAAAGAAAGTGCTCGCACCAGAAAGTATAATGTCTATGGGGCAGATTCTCGGGGTATGTGTATCGTTTTATTCCGCTGGGGTTCCCCGGTCCAGTTTCTGGAGGCTCGCTGATTTTCTTTGGGAGGCCAGCTTGTTGCTCTTGGATGAACCTTACTGGCTGATTGCTCAGTGACGTGGCATTGTCATCCCTTTTAAGGGGTGATGGGGAGAAAACAACTTCCTAACATGGGTGGAGAAGGAAGAGTCTGGGGCCCAGTGGAGCAAAAATGTCTTCCTGATCTTTGTTGAGAGTTTTGTCTCTACACACGAGATGAGTTCATCCTAGAAATCCAAGGAACGAAGAGCGGCATAAAGAAGAATGGTGACAGTGGTGACACGCTGGGCCTATTCCCTTCTAGTTTTCCTTCTAACATGTACATAATTTTCTTCACTAAATGGGACTTACACTCTTACTTCCCTCTTTTCTCCATCAAGATGATCTGGCTCCTAACACTCTTTTCGGATGTTGTCATTGTCCCCGGGACTTCCCACTGACTATATGGGTTATTTCTTACTATTGCCACCATGACCCAGTCACTAGGGCTAGGTCGTTCTAGTGTTTATTGTTGCAATTTTGAACAAAAAACACTCTAGTGAGCATTGTTGGTACCCAAGTGTCTGTATTTGTCGTAATTGCTTTGTGACTCATGCCCTACAGGACAAATATCAATCTTTGAAAAGGTTTATTTATTTAAAGTGTTTACATTTTATTCTCTATTATTTGTTCTGTGTATATGTACACACGAATGCAGGAGTCCACATGTAGGATCCACTGGAGTGGATGTTACAGGCTATTGCCAGCCACCTGATATGGGTGCTGGTAACTGAATTTGGGTCCTCTGGAAGAGCAGCAAGTGCTCTTAACTCATTTTACTTGTTTACTGACAGTTTCTCACATATATACTGTGTGTTTCCATCTGCTTGTCCCTCATCACCTCTCTCACACCGCCTTCTCTCTGAATCCCTCTCCTCCCAGTCAGTCCTCCTCCTTTCGCCTGCCTTTCTCCTTTTGTGCCCTGAGTTTTGTCAGGGCTGCTTACATGAGGCCTGGGCAGGGATTTGTTGGCTGGAACCAGACAACTTTTGCAAGGACAAGAAAAACATAGGCTAAACAAAATGATCATGGAATCCGTGTACTGTAGAAATGAGGTGAAAGGAGGACTCCGAGACTGATTTCACAGCTCTCGGTGGACCCCTGATATGGAACAGCTCAGAGCTGAAACAGCAGGTGTGTACTGGAAGTCAGGAGTTCAAACATAGATGTGAATAGGAAAGTGTGTACACTCGCTAGTGAGAGTGAGAGTGAGGGGGGAGAGGGAGGGAGGGGTGGAGAGAGGGATGGAGGGAGGGGATACACACATACACACTTATAGAGAGAGGGATGGAGGGAGGGGATACACACACATGTATATATAGAGAGGGAGGGAGGAATGGAGAGAGGGGTGGAGAGAGGGATGGAGGGAGGGGGAAGATACACATACACACTTATAGAGAGAGGGATGGAGGGAGGGGATACACACACATGTATATAGAGAGAGGGAGCGAGGGATG